TGGGTTTAATTTTGTTTCTGGGGGCCATTAAAATATTAAAAATAATATTATTAAGATATACTGTACACACATGCAAATACGAACTCCTCAAATTTGGTTAACATTTAATTTGGTTAAATTTGCGACTTTACCAAGTTCCTTGTCGTTACCCCGCTTACCATACTACAATAAGCGGCAAGGCTCGATAGTGGCAGAAAATGAGGTACGCCGCAGAGTCCATACGACACGATAGAATTTACATATACCGAAAACGTGGTGCCGGTCACGAGAAAAGTGAAAGCATGTTTCAAGTTTTTCCTTTCCCTGCCAACAATTGGTAAGTCATTTATTACGGATTATAATTTTTTCATTACCCTTTTCACTTGTATTTATGTGATTGCGTGTTCTCGGCCAATGTAACATAGGAGGGCAATTTATCGGCACCTCACATAACGGTGTAGTGATACTTCACATAAGGAGAAATGTACCTGCAAGTTTGGAGAGCTTTTGCATTGCGCCTCGTAGGACGGCTAGTTTATGATAGCTTTAAGAAGGTCTTCGCCGTAGGTAGGACAGACCTACACGGATAGCTTCAGAAGCTTTGTGAGCGTTAGGCTCGCTCAGGTGATTTTTTGGAGAGAATCTAATGCGAAAAATTTTAAAGAACAATTTTGGATTTGATTGGTTATTTCGGGCAAAAGTAACAATAATGTCTATGCATATAAGAATTAAGTGAATTTTGAAGGGACTGGAAACACGAGAGAAACTCTAAAACTAAAAAAAAATTTACCCAACATTTTCAATTTAATTTGAGCTTCTTTTAGAAATAAAAATTTTAATTTTTTTTAATTCCTACTCATTCTAAAGATTACTATCAAATTAAAAGAAAGCAATTACTGGTATACTTAATTTTGATAATGTTATCGGTTCATAAAAATATTAAAAAATATAACACTTCGTAAGTTGCTTATCAATATTTGCTATTCAATATATTTTATTTAAATATAAAACAAATACTGTTAAACTTAATTTTGATAATGTTATCAGTGCAGAAAAATATTAAAAAATAAAACACTTCATAAGTTATTTATCATTGTTATC